GATGCTTTCATTTTATGCTTTTGAAGAATTCACGATGAAATCAACAGTAATTATTAAACAACTATTTACTGAGCTGAGCCTGTGCTAAGTGTGTTATGTGTATCACCTAATTTAGTCTTAATAACCTCATTTGAAGTGAGGAAACAATCTTAAGAGGACAAGGCTAAAGTAGCAGAACAAGAATCTAAGTCTGCTGAATTTGAGTCCAAGCTCTCATTATATTTCATCATATTCTGCCTCTTTAATTTAAAAACATCTTTACATACGTCTTAGTAGGACTAATCTCAGACAGCAGCACACTATATTGATTTCCTCTGACCTAGAACCAACCTACTTTTAGCTTTGTCAAAAGGTATTATGGCACTGGGTAGCCATCTCTTAAAGTTTTAAAAAGGCATGTGGTAGAATGGAAAGAGGACAGGTTTGGGGTTAAAGAAACCCATGTTAAAATTCTGGCTCCACGTCTTTTCAGCTTTCTCCTCTGCCAAATGGTACCTATCAGTCAGGACTGCTATGCATGTAAAATGCCTAGGAAAGCCTGGCACATGGCAGGCACTCATAGATGGTAGTTACTAGCTTTCACCACTTGCTGCTGTTGTTCAGCTTCAGTCTTACCAATGGAGAATGTATACAGAACCATCACAAGGCTAATTATAGCTCAGACTTCAGCTCAGCAGACTGGCAACAATGCCTGGGTGTGCAGGCAGTAGGACACCTGGCTAGCCTTAGTTGGCTTAGAGAAAATGTGGACATTCTGGAAACATACAGATAATTAAAGGACACCTCTCTGAAGTGGCAACATTATTTTGAGTGATAGTGGATAGGCTTTGTTGATTTAATAAAACTTTGAAATGTTCCCATGTCCTGTGCCTCCTATATACACACAAAAACTTCCACTCTAATGGGATGATCTTTAAGGGGAGGCATTAAGATACTACCATGTGATGAATCTTGCAGAGAATAACCCTGCTCACATTTGCAGTGAGCTCTTTTATTCACTAGTTACGATCAGTGAACAATGTTTTATGGTTTCATCAGCCACTTGTATTTCCTGAATAAATGGAAAACAGCACAAATGAGCAAACAGACACACCAGAGGAAGTTATATATTAAAGAGTAATCATGGATAAGTAACACAAGGAATGCTCAAGGCTGCCCAGTGAATTCAGCTGAGTATGTCAGTAAATAGTGAACATATAATCACTTTTCTGTACTTAATAAGAGAAATACATTCAGGAAAGTAAGATCATGCTTTTCTACTTTTCTGGCTACTAGCTTTGTAGAAAAGTCATGTTTGGGAGGAACGTTTCTTGTTTTTGACACAAAAAATGTATACCTTCTTAATCTTAAAATTTGATTGTTTTAGAATTTCTCTTACTTGGTATATATGAAATTTTTCCTTTAAAAACTGCTGTGCTCAAAAAAAATATTACCATGTGATTTCTCTGTTCCTTCTTAGAAAGCAAGATTCAACAACAAAGATACAAGCAAGCAAGCAAGAACACCCACCTCCCAAATAGAACTCAACACTGAAAAGGTTTCCTGTCACTAGGGAGATAGCCCAATTTCCCTTCTTTGTATCAGTCAAAATTCTCCAGTAAGAGTTCCACCCCTGCTGCCTTCGCTGCTCACTATCCCTTGACCTCCGCCCATCTGGCTCCTATTCTTCCCCACCACACGTAACAATTTGTCCTCTCCAGCATGAGACCGTCTACTCTGAGACTGCCTGTCTCCTCCCTTCCGTGACACTGACCCCTCTCTGGTTTTCCTCCAACACACCTGCTCCCTCTTCCTTCGCCAGTGCTCTCAGGTGAGTGTTCTGTAAGATTCTGCTCCGGGCTCTGTTCCCTCCGGTCCACTCACATATTTCATTCACTGCACAGGAGCACCCAACTTCTAGCCCTAGTTGCAAACATTCTACTGAATCCTAGGCCTCGCATTTCCATTGCTCTCTGGAAATTCCAGTGAGATGATTCTAACAACTAATATTTATGAACTGTCCACTAATGTGCTGAGCATGGTGCAAAGCCAAAGTTCCCAAACTTTGCTGGTTCATGGTGCCTACTTTTCACATGGTACTTGCTTTCCATCAGACCAATTACAGAAAACCCAGCTTTGAAACGATATGGCTTTATTAAAAGACATGTACATGAGAAGATACTGAAACTGTGAATTACTTTGAGCTAGTAATTCACAAGGTTTCTGACAGATGTCAAGTACTGCTGTCTCTTTAGAAAATTTAATATATTTAAAATATCTAATGGTGCCCCTTTGAGTTTGCTATGGCACCTTGCCACACTGAAGTCCTAAACACATCCCCATGCATCATCTCATTCAGTCTGTATGGGTCCTATTCGGGCAGTGATGGCGAACCTTTTGAGCTCGGCATGTCAGCATTTTGAAAAACCCTAACTTAACTCTGGTGCCGTGTCATATATAGAAATTTTTTGATATTTGCAACCATAGTAAAACAAAGACTTATATTTTTGATATTTATTTTATATATTTAAATGCCATTTAACAAAGAAAAATCAACCAAAAATAAATGAGTTTGCGTGTCACCTCTGACACACGTGTCATAGGTTCGCCATCACTGTATTAGGGTCTATTATCACCCCCAGCTTACAGATGGAGAAGCTGCGTAGCTTGTGCAACATCACAGAGCTTATCAGTGGCAGAGCCAGGATTTGAACCCAAGTGCTTTGGCTCCACAGCTCACTATCTTGACCACTTAGATGTGCTGAATCTCTTGATGCTTATATCTTAACTATAAACCTAACTTATCTTCTCCCAAACCAGCCAGTCTTCTTGCTTCCTACTTTGATTGCAGCCCTGGTCACAGACTCTAAGGGAGAAAGGGGACAGAGGCCTTCAGCATTTCTACAGTTGGCTCTCCAGTCTCTGCTCACTGTAGACTGAGGGAACAGGATTCCTGAAACATTTCTGTCTAGGTGGACTTTCAGGTAGTTCTTTTTTATACTGAAACAAAACCCAGGAAAGGATGTTTGTTTAAAGCTTCACAGAAGTTTAAAAAGCACGGCATGTGTCCCATAAATATTTGTTGGATAAATTATTACATTCAAAGTCTGAATGCTTCAGGTTTGGACAGTCACAATCAAATACTGATTCGTAGGAAGACTTGTGCCCTGACTATAATTCTTTTTCACTAGCAACTGCTGGCCACATGGGGGAAATTACAAATAACTCCCTACCACTGAGGAGATTATAATTTTATTTTCTAAGGTACTTAGGTTCAAAACCTTAAGGGACATCTTTATGCTCACTTGTATTTCTGGCATCCAAGCCCAGTGGCCAGATGTCAGTTTTCCCTTCAGCTGCTCCTGAACCTGTCTCCCATTTTATTTCTATCAGCTTTGACAACTGATTTTGGACTAGAATAAGCTTCTGGGTTGTCTGTCTCAAGTCTCTCTTCAGTCTAAACCACCTGGTACAGCTCTATCATTTTATTCTGAAATTATCATTTAGAGCAGTGGTCGCCAACCGGTGGTCCGCAGACCACTGGTGGTCTGTGAGGTCCGAAAGGTTGGCGGCCACTGTTTTAAGGAAACCTTTAAAAGCGGTCGCCAACCGGTGGTCCGTGAGGTCCAAAAGGTTGGCGACTGCTGATTTAGAGCATATCTACACCCTACTCATAACCCCAAAGTGTCCACTGCCAAATCCTTTATTTTGGAATTTAAAACTCTCTGCCATTTGCTCCCGCGTTTTTTAATACATGTTTTCATCGACATAGTCACTCATTTGCCATATCACAAAATGCTTACCAAGGACATAAAGGAATTGAAGGCACTATTAAGGTGACTAAAACAGCCCCTGCCGAGTTAAAACACCTGTAAGAAGCTAATAGTCTTTAACAGGGGAAATGGAACATGTACAAAGATGGCAGTAAGTGTAATAAGGGAGAGATAGCAAGGTGTTATGAGAGTTCAGAAGTTAATTCTGCTCCTGGCTGGGTTGGTCAGTTGGTTAGAGTGTCCCGAGATGCTAAGGTTGTGGGCTCAATCCCCAGTCAGGGCACATACAAGAAACAACCAATGAATTGATAAATAAGTAGAACAACAAATCGATGTTTCTCTCTCTCTCTCTCTCAAATCAATCAAGAAGTTAATTCTGACTGGAGGGTCGGGATGTCTTAGAAGAGGTGGCATTTGATTAAGTCTTGAAGGGAATGCACAGCTTCAACACGTGAGAATGGGAAGAGGGCTTAGAAGAAAATGAGCAGAGGAATAGTGGTAAGAATGTACGGGAAACAAGTTCAGTTCCCACACAGTCCATGGAAGCACATAGTTTTGAGTTTGGGTTGAGTGGCAGGAAATGGGGAATACAGAGAGAGATAAAGGAGGAGATGCAGGTCTGGGGATGTGACGTACCCAAGGCATACAGGTAGAAAGCTGTATCAGGCAGCTAGAAACGCAGGACTGGAGTTCAGTAGTTTTGCAATGCTACTTCCTAAACATCTCTCTGCCTCCATGCGTTCCCTTCCACTGACATCCTTTTCCTTCTTTAAGCTTTCTCTGACCACCCTCCCTATGCTTGACACAGTGGGACAACAACTCCATTAAGAAAAACCATGAATAATTAAGATTGCTGTTTTGTATCAGACAGACTCAGCCATTGGTAATATTTTATACTTTGTGTCATTCCAAGAGATTTACCTTGCTACATTCCCAGTTGTTCACCTCGGCTGCTTATTTCCACATCTACCTACTACTATCAAGGACAAACCTGCCTCTCTCTCTCTGTCTCTTTCTCTCTCTTTAAATCCTCACCTGAGGATATGTTTTTTAAAAATTGATTTTAGAGCGAGACAGAGAGAAACATCATTGTAAGAAAGAAACATGGATCAGTTAGTTGCCTCCCGTACACGCCCGAACCGGGTATCGAACCAATGACCCTTCTATGCACGGGACGATGCTCCAACCAGATGAAGCCAGGACCCTGCTTCATCTCTTACCCCCACCACACCTTAAAAAATGTTTTACCTTTTCTCCTCTTTCTCTCTCTTTATCCTTTTCCTCCTTTTTCTTTTTTTTCTCACTATGCCCATCAGTGTGGAGGCCAGGAAGTGGTGGGGGAGGGGCAGCTGCTGCAGGGTAGGGGATGCTGGGAGGAGGGCCAGGAGTCATTGTGATCTCTCCCACCACTGCAGCAGAAAGGCCTGAACTTCTCTTGGACTTGGAATGGCGTCTCTCCTTATGCTTCTCCTTGTCCTTCTTCTTTTTGCTTTTCTTTGACTTCTTTTTCTTCTTGATTTCCCGGTAAGAGTCATCTATCACCAACTCACCAGCCTCGAGCTCCCCTCCAGAGGTTGAGTCTGATTCTACTAGGATAGGCTCAAGCCCTGGAAGATCGAGATTAGCACTGTGGGGTTCTGGGAACTGGGAGGCATCAGACCCACAGCCTTCAGGGCCAGAAGATGAATGTGGGTCTGAGGACGACTTGTGCTTCTTCCGGGCTGTTTTCAGAAAGCTCTGTAACTCGTGTCCTAGGAGTAAAGCACCTTGCTCATCCCGAGCTGATTTCTTAGAGGACTTTTTCGCAGCCCCTTGCTGAGAGGGGTACTGAAAAGACTCCTCCTCCACGGAGCTGCTTCCCTTCTCCTTTGGGGAGAGAATGAGCTTCATCTTTAAACCGTCAGGCTCACGGAGGGTCAGTGTCTCGGTATTCACAAAGAGCGGTTTCATTTTTTTGGATTTGTGGGAACCACCGTCCTCCAGGGACAGCTCCCCACTGCTTCCACTGACTTTCTTCCTGTGGTGGTCCTTTTTACTCTCCGAGTGGCTAGAAGAGCTAGAGGACTTCTCCCCTGTCTTCTTGGAGGACTTGGCGCCTGCGGCCAGCGGGGAAGTGATAGCTTTCAGCAGGTCCATAGCTGTATCAGCAGCTTGCGGGCTGGACCTTTTCTTTTTCTTCTGTGACGATTCCAAAGACGAAATATCTAGAAATAACCAAGAGAAGTAGTGTCCATGTGACAAAGCAACTTCCAACAAGTTTCCCCTCTCCCCCCCACCCCCCCCAAACACCCAACTAACACGAGGAAGAAGCCAACAGGAGTGATTTAAGGGGAGGTCCTTCAATTGATTCCTAACATTCAGAGAGGATGCCCATGTGCTTCTTGGCCTGGTAGACCCTGCCTCTGACCCTGGAGACAGTTCTCACCACTACAGTTGTTTTTCTTCACTGAGTCTTCACCAGCAACCACAGAGCATACCCAGAATAGCCTATAGCTGTGGGATTATGAGGACAGGTGACCCTTGAACAACATGGTGTGAACTGCACGGGTCCACTTACATGCAGGTTTTTTCAATAAATACTATAAATGTATTTTCTCTTGCTTATGATTTCCTTAATAACATTGTCTTCTCTCTTGCTTACTTTATTGTAAAAGTAAAGTATGTAATACATATAACATACAAAATACGTGTTGACTGTTTATGATATTGGTAAGGCTTCCGGTCAATAACAGGCCATTAGCAGTTAAGTTTTTGGGAAGTCAAAGTTATATGTGGATTGAACTGTGCGAGTCAGTGCCCCAAACCCCCGCGTTGTTCAAGGGTCAACGAGGTTACAATTCAGGTTTACCGCAGACAGAGTACTGTTTGTTTCTGTGTCCAGGACAGACCCATTCTAGTAAAGAGTTAGTCTTGTCAGCTGTGTGCATCACACAGCTAAGAAAAGGTGGTCTATGAGCAGATGTCCACTGGATTGAGAATTAACCCGTAGGTGCAGGCCAGAGGGCCCAGGATGACTTATGGTAAAAGGGATGCTAGATAACATTGGGCACAAGATAAGTGGGTGATTGGGGAGAGAAGGAACCTGGTACCTGGTGTATCACAAATGAAGACTGTTCTTCTATGCTGAATCCTCCAAAATACCAGCCCTCCACCTCTCTCCTCCTTCACACTGGTTTATCGGCACTCAGAACAAGAACCACTGTCCTGTTAAATAGGCCACTGAGTCAGCAACATCTGGATCCCTTTCCCCTACCCCGACTCCAAGAACCAGTGATGTGTCTGTCCCACCTGCTGCCCCTTCCCATCCTTACCTCCATAGTAGTAATCATCAGAGGAGTGCTTCCTCTTCTTCTTGTGCGTGTCCGTCCCCAAGAAGTAAAACTCACTATCCTGGAATTAAAGAGGAAGAATTGACCCATGAATAAGATGATGAGGCAAAAGTAGCTTGGAACCAATCTTGTTTTTCGATGATTTCTGACTTCGGGAAACAAAATAAAACAGAAAATAATGAAAATAGATACAAAAGATGTTTGTTTTTCTTTTTAAAAGCTTTTAACAGAAATTCTTTCTCCAACTATTAGGAAATACGATATGTGATAGTTTAAAACTTTCCTAATTCAAATGTTTAGAATTTACCTTTAACTTCTTCTTGGAAGAATTCCTGACCTGAGCAGCGATTTCTTCCTCTTCCCTTAAAAAATCTTTGTAAGAACGTTTCTTCTCTCGTTGGCTTCTGCCAGCTGCTAGTCCTATGTCCTCAAAGCTGTGATCACCATCGAAGCAATCTGAGAAGCACAGGTTCATTTGGGAAGAAAAGGAAATGAGAAAGTCAAGTAAGTAACAACCAAATGACATCTGTAATGCAACCGTCCCTCCATTTCCAAATTAAAATAATGTTTCAGTAAGTCCACGGGAACATGAAATCCAAGGAGACAAGAATATTTCTTGAAGACCTGGCTGCAAATACAAGAATCAAACCTGAAGAAGCAATACTTCTATGCTATGCAAAGGCCCAACGTGCATTCTCAGACATGGTTCTCAGTTGTGATCTGGCAGGTGGACACCGACTTGCAGAGGTAAGGCTGAAAAGAACAACGATTCACGTGCTGTGCTGCTCTGCGGGAGTCCAATGTGTGATTCCTACCCCAGACTCCTGCACATGGAGCTGGCAAGGACCACGAGTGCTGCAGGGGATCGCCTCAATACACTACATTTCAGGCTCCTGTGTTGGAACCCTGTGTTGGTGTTCGTTCCATGGGCCCAGTCTGGGGATGACGTGGAGGCTTAACAGTGCTCTGGATCAACACTTGGGAGTCCAGGCTGTGATGGCCAGTCCTGGTCTCTAGGTCCATGGGCTGCAAGGACTGCAGAGGACACACCCTTTGAAATGCTTCTCGGATTAAGGGGTCATACCTTCTTTCTTCACGGCGTCATCATAAGCCATGGCGGTCCTGCAGGGCCTTTGAGAAGTGTCGCTGTGTCCAGGGTCCTTCCCGTCTCCAGGACCAGGCCTGAGAAACAAAGAAGGAAAACCTTCCTGTAATGCGACATCACTGTGGAGATGCAACCTTCCAGACGGAAATGCGTGGTGATCCAAGGGCAGACCGGAAGGGCAGCAAGGCATAAAGGAGTGTTTTGTCACCTCCTCATTCTGTTTGTCAATAGAGTGGGGTTGAAACTGTAGGAAGTGCACTTGCCTTAATTTGATTTGATTCATGAATTAAAGTTGTTGTTTGAGGAAGTATATAAAATACCTCCCACATAAAAATTACTTCAAAATTAATGAGAATTTCTGAAATGCCAACAGGACTGACAACACTGAGAGAGAGTAAACACCGACATTAAGTCAGAGGGATAGGTTCAACATGGTTACGAAATGCAGATAAAGCAGGATGTGGAGGAAGACAGATTGCACCACATTCGAGACTACAAAGTCCTACCATTTGGATTGGCAACAGGCTAAAATCTACTGCACTGCCATTTAGACAGACATAACAATGACATTATAGGGATATTAAAGATCTTTGAAGCATATATATATATATATTTTTAATATATATATTATTTTATTGATTTTTTTACAGAGAAGAAGGGAGAAGGATAGAGAGTTAGAAACATCGATGAGAGAGAAACATTGATCAGTTGCCTCCTGCTCACTCCCCACTGGGGATGTGCCTGCAACCAAGGTACATGCCCTTGACCAGAATCGAACCCAGGACCCTGGAGTCTGCAGGCCGATGCTCTATCCACTGAGCCAAGCCGGTTAGGGCTATATTTTTAAATATATATTTTTATTGATTTCAGAGAGGAAGGGAGAGGGAGAGATAGAAACGTCAATCATGAGAGAGAATCATTGATCGGCTGCCTCCTGCACACCCAGTGCTGGGGATTGAGCCCGCAACCTGGGCACATGCCCTTGACTGGAATCAAACCTGGGACCCTTCAGTCCACAGGCTGATGTTCTATTCACTGAGCCAAATCAGCCAGAGCCGAAGGATATGTTTTGCATACATTTTGTTAGGCTATATGAATTTGCTCAAATCACAGAAATGTAAAAATAGGTACACTTCTTATATTAGTTGGCCCTATGACAGCTTTCAACACTATCAGCCTTTAACATTTTAAAGGCTAGGTGAAAATAAGAATGAATATTTGTCAACTGGTGACAAAATATTTACGATTATTAAGATTTTCACTACTTTGAAAAATTACTGTAATATACAAATTTTATGTCTTGAATTTGTTATTATTTTTTGGCATTCAAGTTACATGTCCATTTTGACTTTGAAGATAACAAGCTGTGACCTATACACTAAGAGAAAGTTCTTCAAATACTTTAAGGACAGGCAATGTCACAATTCCTGCAGGAAAAGTCTTTGCAGGAAATTTAGAAATTATATACTAAATATACTGAAAATGTTCTCATCCAGTTAGAGACATGCTTAAAAGTTGATCTGATTGGTCATTTGTTTAAGTTTTATTTTACCTGCATTACTACAGTGAAATTTAGAAATGCTGAAGGACACTTCAATGAGACACTGCCAATCCCTTTACGTAGGTGTGGATAATACTGAAATATGTAACTTTTGTAAAAGAAAAGATGAATTTCATTAACAAGGGAAATGTTCAACTTAATAGCACAAGTCAGATAAAATACAATGCACAGATCTGCCTAATTTGAAAGTACAAAGAAAAAAGTATTACCCAGAACGATTTACAAGATTAAGAAACATAAAAAAGCATTTCTTTACTTTTCTAAGAAGTGGAATGAAGAGTGGACTTGGTCAAGGTAAGAGAAGCTAGAGTGAAGAAAAAACAACAAAATGAACTGAATTGTTTTAAAGATAAACTGAAAAACTGCTTGCTCAAAGGCCTTTTCTAAGGAAATGAAGGGGATATAAAGTTAGGTCTCATGTACAAATATAAGGAGGAAGGGTACATAATGTAGCCAGTTTTTCATGTTTAGCACTAAACTTTCTCCAATAGAAATTACTGTCCTCCTCTTTCCACCCACGTGGCACTAAATCCAAAAGCGGTGAGGGGAGGGGGAATGTCCTAGGGAATTATATCCATTCATTTGAAAATAGCATATCATCTCATTGGCCCTGAAATACTGAGTTTATTAGAAAAATATATAGATCCAATTAGTTTTCATAGGCTGATAATGCCAAGAGATACCGCTACTTTAGACTTCAAGTTAAATGTTTCCCCTGCCAAATGAATTTTGGCAAAGAATGTTTGAGAAACGGAGAATAAAAATCTTAACTATTCTACGTCATCAATATGGCCACCATCTGTTGTCAACAACAAAATGCACTTCTATATGAAGCAGAGGCAGGTCCGGAGCCTATAACCAGGTCTTCCCTTTGGTAATATCAAAACTAACATAAAAGAGTTGAGCAACTGTCAAAACAGAAGTCAGTACCTCTGAAGACAGTCTAAGAAAACAAGGGCCTCTTACTGCACTATGAAAAGTGCTCTCCGTCTCATAACTGACTGCTTTGGAAAACAATCAGTGAATTTAAGAAGCTCTGAAAGGGAACATAAAATTAGAAGCTGATCCTCAAAGGCACAATATGTATTAGAATCAGGCCTGCTACTATTTAAATTTCCATAAAAAACAGTGAAGAGCATTTTATAAATATAGGATTAAATAACCCATAAAAAAAAAAAGAGAGAGAATGAGGCCTGAAGGAAGTCCAATTCACTAAAATATTGGGGCAGCAGCCACAAGCTTAAAAAAACAATAATTAAACATAGTAAATGAACTGTGCCACCCAGCTAGGCAACTGATGGAGCCTAACTTTCTAAGTACTTTAAAATCAGGATATTACTGCAGCCTAGGGGTTAGTTTTGGTTGCTAACTTAAGAAGATGAAACCAGATAAAGAAGTCTCAAGCAACAGTGTGCAAGAAAGGCAGTTAGGGCAACATATATATGTAAGATCAGATGACTCCCGATATCCCTTCTGGATCTTGGATATTATCCATGATACGTTCAGAGTTCAGGGTTAGGCAGCAGATTGTGAGGATTAATGAAAATTGACATTAAAGTGTTGGCAAATGCAAAACAGGTGTTAACACCCATTCTACTGGATTCTACCGTTTTGCAGTTTATAGAATTGTTGTCAACTTGAAGAGGCAGGCATAATTTCACAACTGTTCCTCTCAGTGGGCTCAGGAATGACAACATCAATGAAAGTTCATTATTCAATGCTGCTTATGGGAGAAATAGACCATCATAAAGAACGTGCACCTATGAAACGTGCCAATTGTTAAATGGCTCTTTGGGGACTTTTCAGGGTGTAAAAAGGCGGCGGCGACGCTTCTCTTCTCTCGCAGGTGAGTATTCGCGTCATGTTCAGGCACAGCTTTCCGGATTAGCCAAAGTAATTGGGGGAAATCCAAAAGCTCCAGCAGTACTTTGTCATCTTGAAAGTCCCAATGATAAATACCGAAAAGATGGAAAAGTGTCGGAAGGGGATGTTCCTGAGGTAGTCCGAGCGATCACTACCAAGCCTCTTCAGCCGAGAAAGTGAATGGATGTTGACAGAGGGAACAAAGCGAGCCCCTGAAACCGGGCAGCAAGCGAAACCCCGAAATCCGGGTCCAGTCCTCCTCTTCCAGACCTCCCTGCGGGAAGGTAGCCGGCCAGTCGGTGCCGGGGAGGAAGACGCGCCTCCAGCCGCCGCCTGTCTCCGCCTGTCTGCGGTCCTCGCTTCCCGGGGCAGGAGCAGGTGATGTCTTCTCACTTTTTTGTCCACATCGCCTCCAATCTCAGCACGGAGCGACTCCGGGTTCTGGCCCCTCCCTCCTCCGGGCACCTACCCTACCTACGCAGCACTCGCAGCCCCTGCCAGCTCTGCCAACTGCAGCGATGCCCCCGCCCGGGGTGGGGGCCCAACCCGCGCATCCCAGGGCGATGGAAACGGAAGCGCGCGCCCACCGCACGGGTCGGCGGGCCACACGCATTTCCCAGCCGCCAGCGACGCACGCTTGGACGGGCCTCCTCCCATCAACAGGCTTTACTCTGGATGCAGCTTTTTCATTTATTTATTTGTTCTGCTACGAGGAGACACAACCAGCCGCCACCTTAACCATCGGAAAGCAGGCAGGTCGACGCTGTTCCTCTTCTGCGTGATAGCGAAGCAAGTGCACGAACCTACACGGAGTAGCCGTGGGGGGACATGGGCCCCACGCAGAGGAGAGTCCACGCGGCGCCGGGCCCCGTCCACACAGAGCCCCCCGGGGCCACCACGTTGGCGGTGCCCACGGCAAACCCACGGGGCTCTCCCGGCAGCTTCGCGGCAACAGCTGGTTCAACAAAGCTCCACGGAGAGGAAAGGAAGGAGGCTGCCTGCATCCTCTCCGGCCCGCGAGGCCCCGGCCCTCCCATCGCCCGGTTCCAGGGCCCGATCCACCTGACAGCCCCGGGGACCCCGCACCCCGGGTCCCCAGCCGCGCCGCGGCCCCAACCCGGGTTCCCGCGTCCCCGGCGGCCTCCCGGCGCCCCCGAGGGCGGAGACGGCCGGGCAGGGGGAGGGGCGGCCCCGGCCCGCAGGCCCCCGCGGCGGCCGCACGCCCCCTCCCGGCCCCGCAGCTTTCCCGCCTTCCCCGTTTGAACAGCTCCCGCCCGCCCTCCTCCTTCGGCCCGCTCCAGCCCCTGCCCGGGGGCGGACTGCGGCCGCTACTCCAGTCCCCGGCTCGGCCCCGGGGCTAGGCCGCGGCGGGTCTGGGGCGCCCCCGGAGCGGTGTCGCGGGCCCCGGGCGGCGGGTGGCGGCGGGGCGGGGCCGCTGCCGCCTCGGGGTGGGGGCTCAGCCCGGCCTCGTGGGGGTTCCGCTCGCCGCTACCTTCACTCGGCTCGCCTGGATCCCGCCTCCGCGCCGCCGCCCGCCGCCATCTTGGAGCCGGAGAGAAAAGCGCGAGCGGCCAGGGAGGCTCAGTCGAGCCCAGAGCGCAGGCTCCGACCCGAAGGGGAATCCCGCTGGTGGCGAGCGCCGAGCGCATCGAATGCGCCGCGCAGCAGGCTGAGCCCGGGGCCGGTTTCTACGGAGAATTGGCGTTAGTCCTCCCCGCATCGCATTGCTGTGGGTTTTGTCTCAGTTTACCGATGAGCTTAAGGGACTTGCCTAACCATACACAGGTAGTTGGAGTGGGCGGCAGGATATTCCTCCAAGCTTTCTGATTCTTAAGGCAGCGTTATGCCCCAAAGACTCCACTGTTTCCTTCAAGATGTTTTTATGCAGGAATTCCCCCCTCTGCAGAACCTAGATCCATGCACATTGAGAGTCGTGGTGCCTATTTGGCATTGAGCATCTGCATTTGGGTGTTTGGCATAGCTGGGGTGGGGCGGAAGAACTTATTTTTCTGACAGCACACTGTAGAATAATTTGCATGGCGATCGTCTGCATTTCTCCTCACAAGTTATTTGCATTTCAAAGTTAGAAACAGTCTTCAGGGAAATGAAGAAATGTCATACAGAGGAGAGAGGTGGGTTTTTCTGTTTTCCTCTGGAGAATTTGGGCCAATAGGTTCAATATGAAGATGAATTCATTTTGCTAGAGCAGTTTAATTGTATTTGGCTACTCTCTCAGGTAGTGAGCTCCTCATCACCAGGGGAATCCAAGCAGCAGTGTCCTAGTTACTGCAGAGCAGTGACATTAGAGATATAGTTTGGCTTTTACAGTTGTGAACTCCATGAATCTCTATGCAAAATTATGTGTTTATGCACGTGAGTATTTTTCTGGGGTTTGGATTCCATCAAAGATTAGGAACCCTTGTCCTAGTGAGCTTGCCATTCCTGAATTGGACAGGTGCCTGAAGGTGATGTAGTCATACTGCTCATGTTATATACTTAGAAATTAAGACCAAGGGAAGCAAAATGATTGGTCTCAGACCACACTGCCAATTAGTGATCAGATGAGGATGAGAAAGAAACCAGATTATTGGACTCTTGGTTCAGTGCTCTCTTTACCATATTATGGTCTCTCTCCCTGTGCACTGAGTAGAATATTGGATTTTATTTATCTATTGCTCTTATAACTGTGAGACACTGAGATGTTAAAATGCCTGAGCAAGTTGTTGAATTTATTCCCAAAGTGAAAATGCAAATCCTATCTAATAATAGACAAACATGGTAATTAACTGTACCTCCGACATGCTTCCCATTGGCTAATCAGGGCGATATGCAAATTAACTGCCAACCAAGATGGCGGCCGGCAGCCAGGCAGCTGAAGCGAACAGGAGGCTTGCTTGCTCCAGTGATGGAGGAAGCCAAGGTTCCCTGCCTGCCGCTGCCAGCCTCTGAGCTGCACTCTAAGAAACAATGTTGCAATTATAGAAGCTAAACAAACCCCAGAAACCTGCTTTCAGCCAGCTGGGCCTCAGAGCTGGAGCTGCAACAGTGTTTCAATTATAGAAGCCAAACAAACCCAGATACCTGCTTTCAGCAGTCAAGGTCTCAGAGCTGGAGCCGAGCCTCAGAGCTAAAGCCAGCTCTCAGTTCCAGTGACAGCCATAGAAGGTAAATAAATCCCAGAATAAAAAAAAGAAAGAAAAAAAGGAGAGGTTGAGAGCTTCAGTCACCCGCCAGCCTGAAAACGGCCTTCAGCCCCTCACCCAGACTGGCCAGGCACCCCAGTGGGGACCCCCACCCTGAAGGGGGTGTGACCAGCTGCAAACAGCCGTCATCCCCTCATCCAGGCTGGCCAGGCACCCAAGCGGGACCCCCTCACCCCCATCTGGGACACCCTTCAGGGCAAACCAGCTGGCCCCCACCTGTGCACCAGGCCTCTATCCTATATAGTAAAAGGGTAATATGCAATTGACCCTAACAGCAGAAGGACTGGGAATGACTGGTCACTATGACACACACTGACCACCAGAAGGCAGACGCTCAATGCAGGAGCTGCCCTCTGGTGGTCAGGGCGCTCTCACATGGAAGGAGCTCTGCTCAGCCACAAGCCAGGCTTGACGGCTGCCAGTACAGCGGTGGTGATGGGAGCCTCTCCTGCCTCCTCAGCAGCGCTAAGAATGTCTGACTGCAGCTTAGGCCTGCTCCCCGCTGGCAAGTGGACATCCCCCGAGGGCTGCCAGGCTGCCAGAGGGATGTCTGATTGCCATCTTAGGCCCAATCCCCCGGGGAGCAGGCCTAAGCCAGCAGGTGGTCATCCCCTGAGGGGGTCTCAGACTGCAAGGGGGCACAGGCCAGGCTGAGGGACCCCCCCTTCCCCGCCCCCATGAGTGCACAAATTTTTGTGCACCGGGCCTCTAGTCTATATATTAAAAGCCTAAGTGAACGCTATGGTGGAATGACCACAATGACTATGATGCACACTGACCACCAGGGGGCAGATGCTCAATGCAGGAGCTGCCCCCTGGTGGTCAGTGAGCTCCCATAGCGGGAGTGCCGCCGGTCAGCCAGAAGCCTCTCCTGCCTCTTCGGCAGCACTAAGGGGCAGTGAGCCTAGTAGTAAGGAGCAGCAAGCAGGTGGGCAGTAAGGAGCTAGGGCTCCTGGACTGCAAGAGGGCACAGGCCAGGCTGAGGGACTCCCCCCCCCCCTGCACGAATTTCGTGCACCGGGCCTCTAGTAATAAAACTAGCATCCTTTTTCTCAATCACCATTCTCCTCACTAAAAAGAAAGGCAATGAGTTTCACCAAAAGGTCTGGGGTTGCACTTCTAGGACACGTTGCCTGACATTAGGTTTCCCTGTGGGGTATTTAAAAGCCTTAACAATGTAATTTCCTCTTGTTCTTAAATAGTGGTCAGAATTTTTTCAGTTGTGACAGAAACCCAGTTTCAAGCAGTTCTCCAGAAAAGGAGTTGTTTTGGCTGACGCTATTGAATTGTCCAGTACCTTTAGGCGTGGCTGGATCCCAGGGAGGAACTCAGGTCTCTTGACATCTCTCTAGGGTGCTTTCTTCTGGGTCAGCTTTCTTCCCAGGTTCCCCGTGGTGACTCTAACAGCCTCAGACTTTACCACTAGCAGTGTCCCTGGAGAGAAGATTTCTTTTCCCCCATATGTTTTGGCGGGCATCATGGTATTGCTCTTCTTGTTGAATCGGATCATGTATCCAAACAGAAATCAGTCACTATGAGCAAAGGGGTGATTGGCCAGATCAGGTCACATGCTCAGCCCTGTAGCAGTCGACAGAAGGAAAATCAGGGAGTATTGTCAGAAGGGTGAATGGGGGCTAGGTAGGCAAAAACAATATCTGTATCGCTAGCTTGAACCTGAAAGCCCCTGAGCCCCCTTGTCCCATCCTTCCTTTGATCCCACCTGAGGATGGAACTGTCACGTTATTGCTCATTGTAACGTCCTGCACACCTGAAGGCGGATCACTCTTCATCCTGCTCTTTCCATTCACTCGCTCCTGGTCTCGTATCACTGCACGTGCATTCATCCATTCATTTAACAAATATTTATTGAAAACAGCATACATGAGGCACTGTCCTACGCGCTGAGAATAGGACCGTGAACAAAATCGAGAGTCTCTGTGCCACTGGAGCTTCTAGTCTAGTTGGGTTGAGGGGCAGAAAATAAATAGATACCCTGTTAGGTGATGATCAAAGGTGGAGAAAAATGCCAGGAGCGGGTGGAGGTGGGAAGGGATGTTCTTTAAAATTGTCATCAGGGGCAGCTTCTCTGGTGAGAAGAGTGCTGTAGGCTAGCTCAGCCGGAAATGGCGGGGAGGGAGGGCAGGAGGTCGTAGCTCCTGGAAGAGGTACAAGACTTTCCTCGGAGCCTCAGCGGCAAAATATCGTCTATGGAATATCCCATGATGCTTCCTTTGTCTCTGAAACTTGGAAAGAGGGAAAGGAGGGTCCTCATGGGAGCCTGAGATGGAGAGGGACTTGGTCACAGTGGGTTTTGTGAGTAGCATGCCTTGTCCCAGGGTATCTGCGATATATGAAGCCTGGGTGTCCCCTGGGCTGGGGTTGCGCTCTGGTCCACCTGCCCCAAGTGACACTGCCCAGAGCACGGTTGTGCTTAATTTGGGCATTTTCTTCAGACCATTTTTTCCCCCCATGCTTTGCCCTTTTCAGCTGTGTTTTGAACAGCTTCTGTCTCCTAGGCCTGATGGGAGATGATGCATGGATGTACATTAGTACATTAGTCAGGTCCCTGTTGACTGGGAGTGGTGGGACCTAATGAAAACTACATTAAGAGACAGGAAGAAATTTATGGCTCATGTTAAAAAACACTAACAGCCAGAGAGAAGCTGGCCCTCTAGACGACTGGGTCCTGCTATGTAAATCCCTCCCTCTTCGCTCTATTCTCTCAGGCTGGCAGTCCCCATAGGCCAGTGGGTTTGGTTTGCTCAGTCCACCTCGCATCCCTGTGCGGACAGCACTGCCCAGATTCAGGAGTGGGCACATCACGCAGCCGGGGTACTCCCATCCCTCTGCCTGAGCTTTCCCGGGCTGTTTTAAAACTTCAGATGGAGGCACGAGGTCCTTTGTGTCTCTCATCCCAGCTGTATGGCTGTGAGCCTGGGGCTGCCCACAGCCAGGCCTCCCGCCGTGGAGAGGAGCTCGTCTGAGAAAATGGGAAAGACGCTGAGAGGGGCCCGCAGAGGGAGGCTCAGTGCCTGGGTCAAGCTGCCACCTGCCCTTCCGTGCTTTATCTCTTGAGCCACAACTCGCCCCTCCCCTCTCGGGCGATCTGGCTGGTTGCTTCTCTGCTGTTTGGGGCCCAGAGGGGCTCCCTGGTCCCGGGGCTGCAGGAAAGAGGAAGCCGTAGAGCTGGTCCCTGCCTGCAGGGTGGGGTGAAGGGGGACGGGGTGGGAGGGCATCCTGGTGGGAGAAACGTGTGAAGGGAGGCTCAGGGCTGCATCACTGAAGGACCAGCAGTGGCACCTCCCCTAGGGGTCAGTTCCTGGG